ATTAATACAAATCGCGAATAGAATAGAATGGGCAGATGCGTATCGCGCGACTATATATTCCGTTGCGAGAAAAAGTGTCAAGTTCGTGTGAAATTAGATAGTTTATTAGATACCGCTCGATAAGGGAATACAATGCCTGAATACCTGACGGCGGGATACTCCAGCGGACCTCGCATAATGGCAGGATGTTTATGCTTCGCGCGAGTCGTAAATTTAAGGGACGCGTGTACGATAAAGTTGCCAGCCGAGTTCTTTAACGGAAAACCATTAATACAGTGTTTCCCAAACTTGTGTCTCTGCCGTGTAATATGTTATCGCCAGACTGTGGCTGTTTCTGCGAATTCACGTTATGTTATCAATGTAATTTCAAAGGCAGAGCGAACCCAGGAATGTACACTTTTGTACACTTTTGGCTATTATTCTGTTCATTCTTACATTTTTGTATCTATAATTTAATGAATTTCACGTTATCTGTTTCTTTAAAAAGAAGAAAAAAACTTCAAAGATATGTCTGTTTACTCCTCAATTTTATAATAATAATTAAAAACTGTGGCTTTTTCTACGCACTATAAATATAAAGAAATTTGAAAGTGCAACACATACAGAGTGCATACAATGTGGAAAAACATTCTTCTCCCTGGGTTCCATTCTTGCAATTACATTTGAAAGAATATTGATTTACATAAATGTGATAAATACTGCATGCATGAGATATTATGTATAGTGTTTCAGCTCTCTGTCATATTAATTGTAAATCACTTCAAACAGCGAATTGACGTTATGTTGTCAATGTAATTTCAAAGGCAGAGCGAATCCAGGAATATACATCCTTGTACACTTTTATACACTTTTGGCTATTATTCTGTTCATTCTTACATTTTTGTATCTATAATTTAATGAATTTCACGTTATCTGTTTCTTTAAAAAGAAGAAAAAAACTTCAAAGATATGTCTGTTTACTCCTCAATTTTATAATAATAAAACTGTGGATTTTTCTACGCACTGTAAATATAAAGAAATTTGAAAGTGCAACACATACAGAGTGCATACAATGTGGAAAAACATTCTTCTCCCTGGGTTCCATTCTTGCAATTACATTTGAAAGAATATTGATTTACATAAATGTGATAAATACTGCATGCATGAGATATTATTTATAGTGTTTCAGTTTTGGATTTTAATGGCATTTTAATGGACGACTTGATAAAAGAAAAGGAAAAAAGTTTGATTACGCAACCTGTTCGTGTCTAGAGACTGGAAGCCAGTTGTTGAGAGGCACTGCGTTACAATGATACGCAACAGAATGAACGAGGATTATCTGCTCAATGATATTAGATCTTCTCAAACGAGTCCTCATTAAAAACTTCTTGTTCTTTTGATGTTCGAACTCATTAAACTCGATTCTCGATATGATTACCGCCGTAAATCATTGTTATTAAGATTTCCATACGCAGATGGCGCAGGAAGTAAACGAGGAATACACCTTCCGGTTTGAACCCATCTTCCTAGCGGATTGACAGGCATATTCCTACGATAATGCTTCTGTGTCTAATGGTAAACGTACTCTGAGTAATTAGTCTGACAATATACGAGTCTTTTCAGAATAACTGAAAGATATTATTTCTAGGTACAGTCTAGTTTGAATTGTTCTCCACGCGTGCCAAGAAGCAAAAATAGCCATTGTAACTTCCTTATGGGATGCCTGCCCTTTGAAGTGGCCTTTGCTCGACCACAGTTTGACTCTCAGCTTCGATATTAGCGCTCATTATCTACTTTTTTATCACCTACGATTACATGGATGACGGTCGATGCTGCAACAGCGACGAATAATAAATTACCGTTTCTCGTAATTTAGTTTCACAGCACTGATGTCGTCCTCAACACCTTCCGCTAAACTTGTCCCGGAGAACGCTGCAATGCATAATTTGCAAGCTCTCTTCCCTTCTCACGGTGAAAGGTACTTTAATATGATAATTCTAGACTATTTAATGTGTGCTGTTATAATTCCCTCCTTGTACTCTCTTTCAGAACTGTTGTAAATCTCCTCTGGCGGAGGGGAGAACTGTGTAAGCCAACTGTGGTGGTGGTCTCTTTCACTGGATGTTGTTGGAAGATTGGAAGTTCAACTCTTCGACACACGAACGAAACTTTATTTACCTACTTTTCTCACTGCGATCTTTGAGGAATTTTAGAATTCGACTGTGGAAAGCTCCCAAGACTGGCTCATTATACAGCACTCTCGACAAATTTCTGATCTCATTAATCAGATTCCAATTTGTTTATTCGTATCTCCTACCTTCGCTGAAGTTTCTCTCCATTCGTAACGTTACGCAACTTCACCGGACCGTTGAAAACCAAGACCAATTTATTTTTATCCCCTGGCTTTGGTACATTTCCTTCATATTTATTATGTTATACAACTTGACCGAACCACTAAAGAAGTTCGTTCGTCCGCGTCCACTATCTCCGCGAGCCGATATTTATTATGTTTTCCATACCGCAGTGCAGTTTAAAAAGCAGACCTTATCTCGGCCATAAGTCTCGTTGCTTCACTTCCATTACCATACAACCGATCCAGCCTGCAACTTCACTTGCAAAAGATCGTCTGACGTGTTTATGCGCGCTATGATTCTTAATTAGCGTCATTATATGACACGTGGGAGATGGCGCGTCGGCTTCCAATCCAGGATCCTGACTTCGCCCAACGCATTAGTAGTGCCTGCTCGATCCCGTTGGAAATTTGCTACGCGATCGAGTCCGATCGAGTAATTACATCGAGCAAGATGTACCGTCTTCGGTCCCGTGACTTTTAACACTGTTCCACGTCGTCCAGTGTGAAATATGCTCGTCGCTTGTGGCAGAAAAAAATCATCATTCCTGCATACAAGGGGCAAGGGGAGGTTTTATGGTTGATTTACCGACGCGATCGCTGTTCGAAAATGCTTTAGGCTTAGCGTGGCAACCACTACGGCGATTTGTAGTGGCGGTGATGGGTCATTTGTAACTCGATTATGACTCGGTTGCTATTTGTTTCAGTCCGTGTGACTTTTCAGATGAGGCAACATGGCGTATGTACCATTTGCAGATCTCTCCGGCAGTGTTTCTGTCGGTTTGGGCAACAAGCTGTGCTCGTAGTTTGTCTTTGACTCGATTAGACGTTACGGGATTAACTTGGGAATCATAATTTGGAATGTGTGGTTCGCTGAGCATTCCAAATGATGCGTGGAGGGAGGCTCTTACATTTTTTTCTCCAGCAGAAGAATTTAATCTTTTGTCTGTGTATAGAATTTGGGAGAGACATTCATAATTTATTGTTCTTCCAAATTCTGTTTCAGAGTAAGATATTCTTAATTCTGCTATTCTCTTTGAGTCTACATTACCGCAAAATTGTAGAGTATAACATGATATAAAAAAATATTTATATATTTTCTAAGTTTTATTCCAAGGGTTTTCATAAAAGTCTGTAGTTTACTCACAATTAATAGGACAAAGTAAAACTTGAAAAAAAAAAAAAA